CTCAGCTGATGTAAAGCATCATCACGCCTGTGAAGTCAACAGAGTTACCACAATCTATGTCACGTGAGCATCTGGCCCTCAAAGGACTACTACCATCCTGACATCGAATTTCTGCTATTTTCACCCAAGTGAACCTCTAGCAAACAAGCAATTCATCACATTTGTGATCCAGAATTTCCTGTGAAAATATCTAAATTTGATGTTCATATCTTCTCATATTTGGCTAGCTGAAACCTTAAACAATGTAACAAAAACAATTAAAAAACAATTCCTTTAATTGAGGTCATCAAGAAATAAGGTCTGTCTTCTACTGTTTCTTCCCCCATCACCTCAGCAAGATCAGTAACATGCCATGCTGTTAAAGGAAATGCCAGTTAGATGAGGTACCAGTTCAACCTATACATTATTCAGCCCATTTCTACAGGTTTTTGTGTAAGAGTTAAGTTGCTTTTTGAGATGAAAGAGCCAAGGTACTACAAGTGGAGGTGAATGGGAGAAGTTCCTGGTCACCGGCTATTTGTGAGGTTCCAGTAGCTAGGAATAACTGCTGACATCAGCACAATTAAGAGAACAAGTGAGACAAATGCATTGCAGTATCAAATGTTTCCATAATTATTTACAACATGATTAGCAAATTCAGTTATAAACTCACTCCACAATTTTTCTTTAGTCTGCTTCAAATTACCTGTTCTATTGCATCTTGACTGAGATTAGCATCCTAACTCATTAAAGGTAAATTGATTTTTCTCAGTATCTTTCAGAAGCAGGGCTTCAAGACTTGCCCTGGAAAGGTACAAAGACTGCTGTTCGCAAAATCTCAGTATGGTATTTTTTTCCCCAATAATACTGTGTCTGGAACAGGCAACCCATTGCAGTCAAACGCACACCAACATTTTCATTCATGAACTTCTCTCTGAAATGTCTCAGACAGGAACTGGGAATAGGAACTGTAAACACTGCTGCTTAACATTTATCTCCAGTATTATCTTTACTGACAATTTATATTTGCCAATAGACCAGATAAATTAATAAAAAGGAGAAGCAAAAATCACTGTCAATCAAATTGCTTTTTTAGACCCTGTTATAGAGACAAAACCAAACACAGGCAGATCTTGGTTGATGTACTTCACAGTACCTTCACTGAAGTCAAAAGAGCTGCAAGCCTACATGCATTGAAAGCATTCTCTATACCGTACCAGTATACGTATCACCGTACATAGCGATCAGAAAAGTTTCAACATCCTGCAACTACCTGCCAGCATAAATCTCCATATGGATAAATAGTGGCATAGATGGGATTAAACATATCAACAAGATAAAGACCAGACAAATTAATGCTCTAAAGAATTAGAGATGCTCATAAAACTTTATTTCATCTCCCCTCATTATACTCCTGATGCTCCTTAGAGTTTTCCAGAGGATCTTCACCCAGTACACATGACAGTGGTCCTTCAATCAGCAGCTCTTTGATATTCTGAGTTTTAGTTCATATTAGGTGGCCCCAGGCCTCTCTGCCTGCAGAGTGCTCAAGCCCTCCACTGACTACAAAAACAACTATTTCCAGTAAGGTGTTTGCTTGCAGAGCTAAACAAAAACCGAAACACCTAAACAAAGTATTCTAGCTGGAAACGATTTTTGACATTACAGCCAAAAGTAACAGCTTAGCAAATTTAACATGCCTTCATGTGCTTTGGGAAATAAAAGAGTCAGAAGGAAGATTTCCCCAGATTTAACTGGAAAACTTGAAGCCAGGGTAATAAAGTATGCTTCTAATAATGTTCCCTATAGTAGTTCCTAGTCTCAGGACTCTCACCTCAACCTATTTCTGATCTTGGATGAGGAGGAGATGTACACACACAGGGCTATGACCTGATCCTGCAAACGCTCCCATCTGGCTGAACAGAATGAAAGTTGTAAGACTTTCCAAGGACTTACACACTTCACTGTATGGACAATCAACCTTTCCCCATACATCTCCTTGTCTGATCTATTCTGAATTCCACTTCTATCCCTGCCTGTCATGGCAGAAAGCCCTTAGCTCCATGCAGTCACTATGTATGCATTTCCACCCTATCATGTGAGTCAGCTGGAGCAGCACATAGGGTATAAGAAATCCAAGTTGCATTCTTGCTATTGCAGGGTCAAACCACTCAACAGGCTACTCACCTGCGCTGCAAAAGGAAACCCTACTTCCTTCCTGAAGCCCCAGGCTGCACAAGCTCCAGACAAACTTCAGGGCAAACCTTCTCTTCTTCTCATGTTGACAGCAGATATGCAGAGCCATCTGATTTGGCCAAAACCAAGAAGGAGAGTTTGAAGGAGAAAAAAAGCCCAGATGAGCCAGAAAGCCCCATTTCAAGTCCCTGTGAAAATAAAAATAAACCATGAAAGTGACAAACTTTCTCAAAAGTGTGTGTCAGGGTTTTTTCCCACTTAAATAACTACAAAATAATGCATTTTCCCTGTATCACTCCTGGATCTGGTTAAACAGTAATTTACT